TTAATGATATACATTTTTTTTGTTTAAATAGGGAGAGATCTAAGTGAAAATCCAAAACCTCCCCATAAAATGTAATGAAGTAGAGCTCTACTGAGAGATCCCCATAATTAACCTTACAATTACTGGTTTTAGTTTCATAATATACAACAAAGGCAAGACCTACATGTTGGATCTCTTTATAGTAATTGCTCTTTGCATATAGTGTACTAATCCAAGCTAACGAAGTTGTATGAATTTTTTATCTCTGCAGAAAGTACCAGTTGCTTGTGTTTCCACCGGGGTTAAGCATTTACACCACAAAGCACTAGAATATGATATTGGCGTCTATTTTGAAGCGAACGGTCATGGCACCGTGATCTTCAGCAAAAATGCAAAGGATAAATTAAACGAAGCGGCCAAAAATAATAAGTAAAAACTGGATTGACTGTACAATTACCTAATGCAGATTTTTGCAGATTATCAGAGGAACAACAAGAAGCTGCTGCTAAACTGCTAGCTTTAATTGATGTAATCAATGAAACTGTAGGTGACGCCATTTCGGATATGTTGTTGGTGGAAACTATTCTCAATGCAAAGGGTTGGAATATACAGCAATGGGAACAGACGTACACAGATTTACCGAATAAACTTCTTAAAGTGACCGTTCAGGTAGGTATTTAGTAATTCGTTGTCTTTGTAATAACAGAAATTTGTTAGGATCGAAGTGTACTCACTACAAAGGACGCAGAAAGAGTGTGTGTCACACCAGAAGGCCTACAAGAGGAAATCGACTCATTAGTAGAAAAGTACAGTAAAGGAAGGTCATTTGTAAGGCCGTCAGGTACTGAAGATATTGTGCGAATTTATGCTGAAGCTGAGACTCGTGAGGAATGTGAGAAATTAGCCGCTGAGGTGGCACAAAAAGTGTACGATCTTGCAGGAGGAATCGGTGCCCCGCCAATTATACCGCAATAGTTTTACCAATTTTTGTACTGATCCCCTTTTGTAACTCTTTTTAACCTACTTATTATAATTCTTATACCTATTTACAGAATTAATATTTATACATAGAGGCTTAACGAATTTTATAAACAACCGACGCATAATGTACTGGCACATTATAGGACATTCCAAATTTGTTTGGCGCGATTATTTAAAAAAAAAACATTCCGTTTTGGTATGAAAAATGTAGATTTGCAAATTTAAAACTTATGTAAGTATAGGTGCAATAAGTGAGCATTTGACTATAACTTTGGTTATGTTTTTGAATTTTATTAGATTAAGATCCTATTGTACATTTTTTATCTTTTAATATAATTGTTATTAGAGATTAGTGCGTAGAGTGAGTGTTTTCTTTTCCATTTTTCTAACCTGACTGATTAGACCAAACACTGGAGCATCATGTCAGATTCATAGTACAGGGTAAAAAAAATTCGGCCTGATATAAATCTTGCTTGTGCTTGTGCTATATTGTATGTCTAATTGAAGTCTTTAGTTTAGCATGACCTGTAAAAAACCTGTCCAAATTTTAAAGTTTATTTACCTATGTGATAACCAAAACCAATAAAAAAAAACAAAAAATGTAAATTGTTTAGGGTATTCAACTTAAATTTGCATGAATACGATAAGTCCATTTGTTTTGAATAGGGACCCCGCCTCCCAAATCTTATACTTCACTTGGCAGACCATAGGGAAAGAAAATAAAGTTAGCTGACAAGTGTTGAGCCACCCTGAATGTTAGTAGGATTAGCTGTTCTAGAAGAACACATAACTGCTAATATTAACAAGTTTTTACTCTGCAATACAACATCCCACATAAGGTCAACTTTCGCTTATCTGTTTACATAGTGAAATACATTTTTTAGCAATTTTAATATGTAAACAAACACATTGCAAATGGTTGCCAAAAAAATTAAGTTAATACTACCCTTACATAAAATTAATGTAAATAATATTTCTGTCTGTTTCTTTCTAATTTAAATAGAGATGTGCGCCCTTTCAACTCTGTTATGTATTTATGCAGATTTTTTTGAAAATTTAACCACATGCTTCTAGTAAAGACTAGCATATCACATACTGTAAAAATCAGGTGTCCGCATAAATATTTTTTAAAATTGTTAGCTTTTACAAGTTAGTGACTGTAAACAATTAATTTTACTCTCATAAACTGCTATGTTTGGTAATTAACTTTTGTAAATTCTTAAGTTCTGTAAATTTAATTAAAAATACAAATTGTGTAAAAAATATAGTAGGGGAGCTAGCTCGAAATCCATTGAACGAAAGTGATCAAAATTTTAATCGACAGAGTTCCACTTTGGTCTATCCGAGTATGCTAAAATCGATTGTCTGTCGACTCAGGTCATATGACTTTCAGGCGCTGCGGTACCAATTTTAAATGATTGTTTTTTGAGAAAATAAGTTGTAGACCAAATGAAAACTTTGATAATAAAATCGCGAACATTTGATAATAATAATCTTTATTTGTCATTCCACCAATCCTTGGCTTCGACACATCATTGATAACTTTTTATTCCCCAAATTTCTCCGAATTTCTCTAGAATTTCGTCCATATTTCCCATCTAATTCCTCAAAATTTCCTATATGAGGGACAAGAATTTCCTCGTTATCAACCCCTTGAAGGATTCTTTAAAGCGTGAACTTTTTTTATGCTTCTATTTGACCAAAATATATTCTTTTTATTAATCAGAGTGCCACAGGCATATTATATAGTTACCTTTCTTGTTATATTTCGGGAGGTATTCCATTTGTTAGTTAACTAACAAAACACAGTCCGACAATTTTTGTAAATGGTTGTCTTAGGGTTCCACTACCATCTGTAAAAAATTGAGATCGCTCTGGCAATCACCCAGTTTGGAAGACAAAGCATAGGTAGTTTGTTTAAAATTTGTTTATTTGATTGATCAATAACTATGAAACTATGGTGATCGGGTTTGTCATATTGTTTTGTTATCAAAAGAAGTGGCCAAATACGGATTTTCAAAAAATCGAATGTTGTTTAACTTTAGTATAATGAAGTGGTACTTACTAAAGATAGAAGAAAGAATATTCCTTTGAATAAAAAGCGAAATCAGTTTTCCATCACATTTTTTTAGTACGTGTACAGTCTGCCAAAGTATAATGACCGTCTAATAGGCAAACTCTACAGCCCAAAGCTACCAATATGCCTATCAAATCGGGCTCCGTCGGTTTCTTGCAGGAGGAGATACCCTAATTTGATGGTTCGCATTTCCAAATTGCACAATATGTACAAATGTTGGTTGTGTATGCTGTAGGATTTACCTATTTGGCGATCATTACTTTTGTCAATGAAGTACATCTGTATGAACATTGATACGTTCGATTAGACTATATTTTAAGAAAAATTGAAAATAAACCAACTATCTCTAATGTTCTATATGTTGTAAAGTTGATGTGGAAGACGCTGATGTATTCGTATTTTTTGTATTAATTATTTATCACCCGTGTAGGGGTGGGAAAGAATACCTCTACCGCAGAAAGCACTGCGTGTCGTAAGAGGCGACTAAACAATTGCGAATCGGCCACATCCCTAGTGATTGGAAGGAAATGGAAATATTCTGCAGAATGCGAGATTTGTTTTTAGTGCATTTTTCAATTTATGTTGGAAGGCGCTATTATGGCCACTTTCTCTGTCTACTCCTACACTTTTCAATATATTTAATTGGTTGCATTTGGTAGTTTACATACAGCTCTGGTACGTCAACGAAGAAAAACATTTGACGATTAATGGGCGTTTCTTTTCTTATTTGTCGAGATATTTTTTTGAAATTTTAACCACAGATACTTCTAACATATACAATGCTTCTAGTAACGGCCAGCATGTCACATATTATAAAAATCAGATGTGCGCATGCGCAAAGCCAACGTTCTTATTTACACTTTTTTTTTTTAATTAGCTTTTGACACGGTGAATCGCAACTCACTACTAGAAAAACTGTACAGATATGGTGCTCGTGGGAATGTTCTAAGTTTATTTCAATCATATCTATTAAATAGAACTCAAATTGTAGAAATGCCATCGGGGGAAAGAAGTACTTGTGTGACACATCTGGTGTTCCACAGGGTTCTATCCTGGGTCCCAACTTGTTTGTCGTATTTGTGAACGATGTTCCATCTTTTATTTCTGGTAAATGTAATGACGAAATATTTGTAACATGTTACGTGGATGATGGTAACATCATAATTAAATTTGGAAAGATCATGATCTTTGCTGGAAGTAAAGAATCTTAGGCAAATAAAACTAAACTCATTTTTGATAGATGTTGTACGTGGTGTAAAAATAATCACTCAATTATTAATCACAGCAAGACCAGTCCTATTCACTTTACGCATGGCGAAATCCTTCTGGTGTTTTTATTTATCCATTTTTATTTCACATTTATTTATCCATTTATCATTATCCGCCAAAATAGTAAATTGAAATAACTTTAAAACTTGCACAAAGTTTAGTTTGTCCTAAACTCTGCCCACAGAAAAATATGACATAAACTTATACATAAATAAAATTATGTGAATAATTCTCAGTTGTACCGGTTGTACTTCAAACCAATTTCATTGAAAAAAAAGTAGTAAATTATAGTGACAGTAGGGTTAATTATTGTCTAAAAATGCTTAGATTTTCTTATACTCATGTATAACAATAGTCTAAAATATATAAAAATTGTTTATTTAAAAAATATATAAAATTCGTAACAAATGAAAATGGACGTTTCAAATTTCACGGACGGATCAATTATCATACAATCTAATACCTAAGGTTTCTTAATCTACATCTAAGAATTACTTTCACTCGATAGTTAAATGCTTGCAGTTATATCAATTGTACACCATACTTAAAAATGTCCACATCAAACCATCTAAAATTGACAAATTTTTACAATTTGGAATTAAAACCACATTCTTATTTTTAATTTTCCTCTACACAAGTATTTTTTAAAAATGAATTGTCAAGGCACAGCATTTAATGCTTTTAAAGAGCATGATGTTAATTTGTACAAAGTTCCTACAGATCTAAATTTTATCTTTGGAAGTAGATGACTACTAAGAGTCCTAAGAGTGAGTAAAACGGCAGTGGAACTTTGCTAGAGGTAGATCGACAATCGACTATACGTCGCGCTCTCATATAGTCAGGGCCTAAATAGGTGGAATAGTACCGCTCATTAGGTTCAATGACTTTCAATTGTTGAGTGGCATCTTGAAATATCAAATCCGTAAAAGGGGGCGGTGACGAAAACATACTGAAACTAAACTCATCTGTAGTCTTTCTGCCGTAGTACGTTTGCGAGTACATGAACAGATTAATGAAAGCATTTATTTCTAGTTCCTTGAATTGATCTCCGCCTCTCGTTACAATGGCGTTTGACTTTACTTTTCCCAAGTTACACTTCTTGTAATCTTGAACCTCCGCACGAGTTGCTAAAATGATAATGTTGTACACGAGCAAAGGCTGAAATTTGTAAATACCATCGGGACAAAGTAATTCAAAGTCGTCCATCAAGTTATCTCTCGCCCACCACTCGCGCCTTTCGCCGCCTGTATTTTCCATTACTGTAGTGTGCTTTACAAAGGCCACGTGACCGCCACCTTCTACCAGACATCTGAAGGCGCCTGTATGACCATAGTAATCTTCTGCTGCGTCTCTTCGACAGAATCTAAAATATTTGTAAGAAGATTGAATAAACCCCTCTCTTTGTACCAGTCTTAGGGATGACTTTTGTCGTGGGCTCAAAAATTTGGCGCGCATCTTTTTCGCAAGAAGTGAAAGTTACTATTTTTAAATTAATAAATGACGTCAACTACTATGTGATCAAAAATGAGTTGATGTCGAGTCACTTTTGGAATTTTTGTTTACCTGGTAAACCGTACCTACTTAACTTGAACTTCCAGAGGCGACTGGACAGCAACTCATTTTTTTATCGCCCCTTATTACCTCGCTTATTACATATTGTACCTAAGTATAATAAGTATACAGGGACGAAGATTAAGAATTTTTTTAAGTACTTACCTAAAACTTGCGCCATGACACAAATCACACAAGTTTTCATAAGGTACACCTGTATTGTATTCTGTACTCAAAGCACCAGGTACACAACTTTTGGTGAAATATTCAGCTGCCGCTCTAATACTGTTACATCCATACGGCCTAATCCAACCATTACTTATAAGATAGGCAAGCGGATACACCCACCCAGCTGCCGAATGAATACCACCATGGCAAGTATTTTTCCCTAAAATCAACAAAACCATAATTAAGTGACAAATCTAAGATCACAAACCTCGTAAATATGTCAGTTCAGTACTGGGATCTTCCTCTTTTGCAACTGCAACTACATAATACTCAGGTTCGCCCAAATTGTAAATCTCACTTATAAATGGAATTAGGTCGTAATTTAATCCTGCCGTATATACGTCGCTGGCGTCCAAAACGGCAACATCAGCGCTGCCCGCCTGAATTTTTTGCATACAATTTATTTGTGAGTGCGCTTTTTCGCATCGCATTTCTGGTTTGACCAATTGAGCCTTTAGTGCAGTCTGGAAAATAACGTTTTTATGTATCAAATTTCTGTATTAACGCACAGGGTGTTACTGCTCATGTGCGACTGAGTTTCAGGGTATGCAATTTTTATGAAACTCCCTGAAAGGTACATTTGATTGACAAAGAAACATACACAGTGGTAATCACAGTAATTTTCTTCCAGAGCATTTTGGTGCAGTTGCGTCCAGTATTTATTAACACTCTGTATAGAGACTTACTTTCATTTTAACACATTTTTCCAATTCTTGATCGGAAGTAACACACAATGTCATATGGTCAACTGGACATTGTCGGATACCCATAATCACATCCAGCGCCTCGGCTAGAAATCCCGTAAATGTTTGCTGATTATCAGACAAAGCTGCAAAGTTTCTTGTAGTATCCTAAAAATGCTATATTAGGGTTGCTTTAAAAAATATACTGTCATACTTGAAAGAGCAAATTTGCATGAGGTCCGTACTTGGGAGACGACTCGAACAAATTAAAAGATTCATAAAAACTAATATTGGGCCGGTTGCGATCGAAATTATCACGAGTATTGTTAATGCGATTATCGTGGTAAGTTTCATCTTCACGGTTATAATTTATATTGGTACCATAAGGATCAACATTTACACCATATCTATCTCTGTCAATCGAGTAAGGATCTTTGGCAAACGGATCCTGGTTACTATCCCGGTTGTATTGATCGCGATTGTAAGGATCTTGATTATATCGATCTCTGTTCGCAGGGTTTCTGTTATATGAATCACCAAACTGGTCATTTTGATTATTGTTACTACCAAAGTCACTGAAGCTTTGGCGTTTAAATCTGTTACCAAACTGATCATAATCACGATTGTCATAGGGAGTGTCATCAACTCCTCTGTAAGTGTCATTACCAGGAAAATGGGAGTACAACGTTGCTGCCTTCTGTAGAAACTTCTGATATTTCTTTCTTAACTCGTATGTTAAAGCTGATGATGTAACAATTGCGTTGCCAGGCACAACACCCCAATTACAAATTTGATAATCACTCAACGGGCGACGCGTACCATCCTTACAAAGCAGTTGAAAACTGTCCTTTGACACGCCGCTAAATTCAATTCCCGACACTTGCTCTTCCACCGTTGTATGCTTTAAAAATGCGACTTCCCCCACTTCGAGCAGACAGCGAAATGCTCCCTCGAACCCAGCATAGGGATCAGCATCTGTACATTTACCCCCCGGAACCTTACCAATACAAATCTGACATAATTTATCAGAGTTATCTCCGATCGGATTGTATTTATCTGTAAGTGAATTAACTGCGCACGATGGACCGAAAAATTCCGTCGCCGATTTTACATGATTGTTGCAATCGATTATATCCATACCCCCCTCATTCATCAGCTAAAATTGTCAGTTAGAAGGTGATTATAATTTAGTTAATCGTACCGTGTGAATGGGTACGACCCATCCGGCCATAGTTCCAACTCCCGCAAAGCAGGCCTTTTTACCTCTTAGACCTCGCAAATGGTTTACATCGGTTAGGGTATTTACGCGAACTACGGCGACTGCATAGTGATAGTTGATGTTTCCCTCTGCAATTTCTTGCGAGATTGGTATTAAACTGTGATATCGTCCACCGACAAATACTTCTCCGGCGTCTAAGGAGGTGAGGGTAACTTTTTCTTCGTCCAGAAGTACCATGCATTCATCTTTGTTGAACGCCTAAAAATGCATAAACATTTTCAATTAATGAATTGTGACCGGCTAAGACCCCACTTCTTGTCTCGCTATCTCCTCCCTTTCAACTATGCCTTAACCTGTTCAACATTGTATCAGATCATAAAACGAGGTACTGGTACCGGCACGTAAGAAGGCGAAAGATGACGCATTCTATTAATTGCACCTACTACAGTGCCATAGAGATAGTTGGCTCCTCCTACAGACTCTAAATTGTTTACCTAATAAAATAATTCTTTATTTTTTTCTAATTTTCTTGAAACTTGGTATTTTGTTAAGTATTTGTCTGATCGCAAAAGTGCAATAGGGTTTTCTATTCCGTGTTCTCTGGGAATTAAGCCCTCATTGTTCGTGGGCACGAATTTTATAACACCCTGTATAACATACTTTATGATGATTTATTTTAAACAAGTTGTAAATCAGCATATGCATGATTAAAGCGCATTTTTGGTAATGCAGGTCAATATTTTATTAGCGAAGGTTAAAATTATCGATCTCACGAGTAATTTTGGCTGCGTTAAATAATTAATTTTATTTAATTTCAATTCTATATCTAGTGACTTTAAAGTTTTTATACTGGTAGCGCTATCTAACGGTAAAATTATAGCACCTCCGAAACCCATATCGAAATTATTTTCTTCAATTATCGATCTCACAAGTAATCTAACTCAAAATAGACTAGTGCCTGCACATCTACACTATAGCAGAAAGCTTTTAGTGAAAATTTGAATTCTCTAGCTATTGTAGTTGTGGAGATCTCACGCGGACAGCCGGCCTGCCAGCAATAACGAATATAATAGCGTATTTTTTTCAAAAATGCGCTAAAAATAAAACGCTGTACTTAAATAGATTGTAGTTTATTGCACTAGAGAGCACCACATACATACCTACATACGTATTTGATTTGTTGAAAAAAATTGATAGGTACCTAATAAATTTCAAATTGTTAATAAGTGCTGTTCAGAAATCGTCTACTAGTTCTTGTTAGGCGGTCCGTTATGTATTATTATTATTATCACCATTATTAATGAAGGAGCCAATGTCACAAATTATCCAGAATTCCCAGACATTTTCATCGCTTTTAAAAAACTGGACTGTCCGAGTGACCCTTAACTTGGACACAGTGTATAGCAACAAAGGTTGAATACATGATTCACAATAAAAATAAATAAATGTTTAATCAAGTAAACAACAACCGTGTACTACACAGGGTACCCAAAAGAGAACAGTATTGTCTTAGAACTTTCTTTACTAAGTTTTTCATAGCTAAAACCCTTTTAGAGGTGTATGCTCGGCTCGGGTGTATCAGTACCTATTAGTAGATTTATTCTCTTTTGCATCCCCTGCAGGGTCCCACTGGACAGTAGGGATACCAGGAGTTTTCTCCGGGGCACCTGGCCATCATAGCCTTCTAATTCAATGCAATCAGTTCTGAAGTAAATGTACCTGCAGCTAACTAAATGATAAAAACGATTTTCCGGAAAAAAATCTTGTATGAACTAGGTATTTCCCGGTAGAAATATACAAACCAGCCCAGCCTTGGCCCCCTCCCCCCCACCGATTGAATGAAATTATTTCTTTAAAGCTAAGAATGATTAATTTCTACTGTAAATTATCCGTGAGCATTTCTTTTTTTTTTAATTACTAATTCTACTCTTAGTTTTAATTTTCAACTTGACCATTGTTCGGGGTGCATACCTGATGACAGTCCAGTTTAAAATGATCATAGCCAACTCGGATCTGATCCCTTTCGACGGCCATCGCAAAGTTCTGGCACTTCCTCTGCTCTTCATTGCTTACTGTGCACCAGACGATTTTTTCGCTATTATCCGAGGGAAGTTTTTCGGTGGCGGAATGTATCTTCCAATAATTTTGACCTAAAGACAAAAGCGCCGCATTAATACCACCCCCTTCGCTTAAACAACTACAATACCTGATGTAGTAGCGATAAAAGTATAAAACACGATATGTAGATAGCATCTTTTGATAAACATTTTATTAATTATTATCACAGAGATATGAATGAAATCGTTTATTTACATATGATCGTAAAACACACCCAACGATGATAAATACTTGGTTACATCTTTACATAATGCCAACCACGCGACACGAACGTAAACAAAACTGGTGGGACAGGTATTTCGATTGGTAACACTTAATGTCACTGACCGTTTATGAACAGCTGAGCGCCAAACAACGTGCGGTAGTCGAGGTGTGTGGCTACAACTTTCGTAGCGTAGTTGTATACGATTTGGTAATAAACAGTGCAGTGCAGTGATTAATTGCTAATGAAAACGGCATGATTATTTGAATTGTGAAACAGGTAAGCCGTTTATGTAACCTTCATTTGTTTTTGTGATTACCTGTACCCAGTGCATGCAGGAATGGATGTAGAATTTTCAAAAGAGCATTGTCGCCAAGGCGTGAAAAAATTATCCGAATCTCAATTTAATTTTAATTTTTGGGGAACCTGCAATAAAAACGTGTTCTTGATTTTTGCACTGGCGACGTTGGAACTCCCATAATAGCTAACGCCAGAATGCCAGATGCTTAAAAGCTCTTCAAATAGCTTTCTTATTGTCATGTCATTTCGGCCAATAAAAAAGTGATTAAAATCTTACAGTCTAGAGAATTTTTAATTTTTTTTGGTCACTGATCCCACACTCGCTGCACGAACCAGTGGTTACAGTTTTTAATTGCAGGTAGAATAATTTCAGTCGCATTCTTTGGGTACGTATTGATGATTCATTGTCTTTAAATTTAAATGTAGATATTTTGAATAAAAATGTAAGTTTTTGAAGAGCCCAAAAATGAGCAAAATGTATTTAAGACTCGAAATAAATTACAAACGACCGAGTGAGTTCATGATTTTGGACTTTCTGTTCGTCCGTCCCTCCGTCTGCTTACATCTCGGTGTACCTATTTGATAACTCGCGAACGGTTTCGGTTTCTGTTTTCAGGAACAGGTAGACAATGGCCACGAGACTAACTGATTTCAGTGACCCTGGAGCTCGTTACAAGTTTACTGGTAATGGTAAGTGATTGCCACCTGGCCTCACTGGCCTGTAAATCATAATAGAACTGTGTTTGACGGCAGTATTACAGTTTCTTGCTTTAATGAATTTTTTGTTGGACATTGTTACCAAAAATGTTTCTTATAAATTCAGTTTTCTTTAAAACAAAAGTACTTCATATATTCACTATACTTATAATAAAAAAGTCGTACTACCTCGACAACTACACGTAGAATTAAAAAATGCATTCACACACAGGAGGTTCCATCGGATTCCATTTAAGAAAATGTGGAGAATATTCAACCATATCATAATACAAAAACACTCTATCGTCTCTATCGAAAAATCTTATCTTCATGGCATTAAGTGTGTAAGCAATGAGAGCACATTTTAAGTTGTTTCGATTCTGGTGTAAAGTAGTGAATTGGGAAACTACTTTGTACATACCTAAACAAATGATAAAGAAATATTATTACTAACACGCGTTGCATTTGATTTATTTGAAAGAGAATCTATAAAAAAATTAAATAAACAAAAGCTGTATGTCGAAATCTTCGGATTAGCATATTAAGATTAAAAATTATTTAATTTCGTCGCGACGTCCTTTCGTGCAGATCTCGATGTAGATTTAGAACATCTGTGCTAGTATTATGAAAGTTTTAGCATTTTGAAATAGTCCGATTTATTTATATGTTAATGTGTATCAATTGTTTATGTATAGAAAACTATAAGTACTCGCTCTGAACACTTTCGCAACTTTTGTTTATTCTTGACTGACAGAAATACTATTAATAGGTAAATCAGGTCAAAATAAAATTCAATATGGTCGTTGTTCTGTCCTACTCAATCATTTTGAAAGTAAGGTAGTTCTTGCCTGTATAGCTATGTAAATATTTACGAAGCTCGGCAAATAAGTACATATACGAAAGTACTTTCAAGTAGTTAGGGCTTCCTGCTGCATATAAATGAACCTAATAAGAAACTTGAGAATAACCACAAGGACCACTGCAAGAAGTATTTCTAAAATTTAAATATAGGTGCGCTCAAAAATAGCGTGTAACTTCCTGGTTTGTTAGTTAAGGAAAAATTAAAATTAGATTTAATTTCATGTGTGTTTAAATTAGACGAAAGAGTCTCTGTTTGTTTGCTTTAAACCGTGATATTTAATTTTTAACTAATGTTTATATATTTATTAATTTGCTGCAATACAATTTATCTCAACTGTGAAGAAAGGACCTTTGTTAACAATGCGGTAGGTAATCTTCATCTTTACATCATAAAACCAAATGAATAGACCACACAGCAAGCACAGGTTGAACATGAATTTTTCTACTGCGGCCCATTTGCACTTAGAAACGCTCTGTTGTGGCATTATTTACTTACCTAATGTTGCATTAAATTGTTTAGTATACCGTGTGTTTCAAAATGTGATTTAAATGATTTGATTTTTCGCTTTAGATTGACATGATTTTGATATTTGATATACTGATTATTACTGTGTAGCTTCTTACTAGTAGCTGTCGTTTAACGTTTCTACCTTTGTTTTAGACACTGTTAGTTTTTATTAACGATAACATGAAATAAATACCCCGTCAGAAGGAGTGCATATGTGATGTATGTTAATTATGGATCAATATACCAAAAACTTCTACAAAGTTGTGTACGGTTAAAATTTTCACCCTAATTGAATAATGCATTGAATGATTTAAGTGCGCAGTGGTAAAACAATGGTGTAGTGGAAATATGAACGATGCTCGATCTCTTTTTTAAACCCCCATTTAAATCTCGATTATTTCAAGTTGTGTACACAAAAAAGAAGTGTAATTAGTATGTATTCATTCAGCAACCCCTACATAGTCGCGGAGGCGCCACTTGGTCGGTGGTCGGGGGGGCCGTAGGTAGTAGGTCGCGAAATATTGATCTTATTTCTGAAGCTTTTGCCCAGCTGAAAGTGCACTCAACAGCTGAAACTTGCAAACAAACAACATTTTGATTCGAAACGGGACGTTCTTTGTGTGATTCACTGTTAAGACGTGTATTCGCCCAAAATATTTAAGTTATTCTTAAACTGAGCACGATTGTCAGTTGAGTGACTTTTTGTTTTCCTAACTTGTTTTATTTATTCTATACTCGTGTGGTGCATGTTGTGTGTCCGTCCTTAATGAGGAGTTTTTAATATGAGCCAATAACTTATTAATTAAAATTGCAAACAGTTAAATCCGAACGTCTCTGCAGTTGATGTGCTCTTATGTTTTGCTGTACACGATTGTAAGTATCTCAGTCTTTTATTTTTCTCACTATTGTCAACTCCTCTACAAGTGTAGTCAATTAAAAAGAAATCCTTGTGTGCATTTGTAAATTTAGTATCGTTTTAATTTGTCATTCAGCATCACCTTGCAAGTCAATGACCGTCTTTATTGTCCTTTGGGAAATTAGAGGAATGTGGATTGCTTACTATTTGACATCTCTGCAATTTAATTATGTTATACCGCTCCTGTAATCTAATTAAGCATAATGTTAATGTTTGTTGTACCTACATAATACTACCTACTGGAAATTGGAAAATATAATACATATGTGGAAGATTTCCTGGAAGTGTGGTTCAGGGTGGTTCAAATTCGTGACTCACCAGCACCACTGTGATGTTCGTAACGGTGAGAGATACAGTGTATGTTAATGGGGGCAACTTTTTGTGACTTGAAAACCCTCGAGAAAACCTATTTGAACTTTTTGAAAAATCTTGAAAGCAACTGAGATATCACCGAAAAAATGAAATCACTTTTTTGGAATTAACGAATACAGTTTAGTTTGTTTTCCAACAAAATTGACGAATAAATAACGATTTTGGGCAACAACGTGATGGAAGCTAAAGTTAATTTTTCATAGAACGCGTAAGCAAAATCATAGAACCGTTTTTTGAAAATGCTTTTTAGTTTTTTTGTAATAAAGCTTTATTTTTGAAAAAAAGTTCGTTCCCCTCCAAAATTTTTTCCCCTTATTTTTCGTGTCTGTATATGTCTAATATACATATCTAAAATTTGAACAAAATCCGCCTAGCAGTTACATCGGAAAATTGCCAAGGTACGATGGAAAACATGTTGTTCTTTAACACTTCCTTAAAGAGATCTAAAACGGTGACATTTGATGAAATTTTAATGTCTAAAACCCCGTGATTGCAATACCCAACCTTGCTCGAGTGAAGAAGCTAAAAACAAGGCTAAAAATGGATACTTGTTTAATTTACTGTTCGATATGGATGCATATCAGACGAAATGGGCTATTTGAAACAGTGCTTCGATTGCCCGATTCCAGATTGGCTTTTTTTTTTGTTAAAAAAAGGTTTCCCTATGCGTGTTAACAGAAAAATTGATAGAGTCTTTCCTGGAAGTTGTTTTTACTTTGCAAATCGGTAAATCAGGTGGCCTTGGGAGCCAGACGATTTCTCTTCGCAAAGAGATGAGACGTCCAGGTAATAAGAATGCTGAGAAGTGTGAGCTGTCATTCCGTTTTGCTGTAATCAAACTTCTTGCTGGGAATATGAAAACGAAATTTGATATTTTCAGGGCAACATTGCCCCCATTTAATATACATTGTATCCCACCTTTATAGAGATCCCAATGGTAAGTCAGGAATTTGTACCACCCTGTACATGGCGCTTCGCCTTTTGATCTATTCTAATTTAAAAAAATCCAATTCGTTTTGTTCGATGTAGGTATCGCACGTATTTTTAAAAATATCCGAAAATATCGCAAAAATAGAGTCGGAAGTTATTTGTACTTGAAGCACAAAGTGTTGCTTTTTGAAAGGGATTCTGTTCATAAAAACGCAAAGTTTTTTGTATGTTTCATTTGAAAAGTGGAACTTGTGCTATAACTCAATCCCCATAACAGTCCAACACCAGAAAAAGCTAAATGTTTTTCGGTATTTTAAAAAAAACTTGGAAATTGGAATACTTAGGAATCTCAGAAAATGTCACTTATCTTTCACATGGGATCTAGGTTTCGCTTGCACACATATGGTTAAAACTTCAGAAAAAAACCTGGAGATTTTCTTGGGTCATGGCGTGACCGCGGTTTTCATGCATTAACCTATCTTCACTCAGGGTCGTAAACTTGAAATTCTGTTTCCCTCACAAAAAACCTACTGCACTTTATACTCGTATTAGAAATGCTATGAACGAGGCCTCTTTAGGAATTTTAATTTCCGTTAAGATTTCGTGCTTAAGCCAGTACTAGTTGACACACTTCGAAGGGAATGTACGGAAATGCTCAGGTAATTTTTGCAAAAAGATCAATACATTATTGAAATTGACCACCAATCGTAATATCAATCTAATGAACAATTTAATCCATTTGGACCAGTTACTCAGGTCGGGTCAAGAGAGGCGTCGAAGAGGTTAACTATGATAATTAAATTACCTACAGTTGCAAATTGTTAATTTCTCTCATTTCTCACCCACCGTCCACAAAAAATAATAAATTAATTGTAAAAAATTAACCAGACTTACTACAAATACACGAAAGTCGTTAAAATAATTATGCTAATTTCTCGCTGTTTTTTTAGTAGGTATGCCGGATCTCTTCCGTGTTTAGTGAACTGCACAATAGAAGACACTATTAAATCGAACCTACATTCACTAAAATCGCTCATTTAGAACGATTGCTTTGTTACTTTTTATTACTCGGCCAATCCTTTCGTAGATCCATATCCGAGCATGTGTAATTAAATCAAATTAATAAAGATACATACCTGTGATCGATTTTCACCAGTATCAAAATAAACATTAGCAGATGCTAAAGTTAGCAAGGTGCAAGGAAGTGGTCATGTTGAAGAAAATGTAATTTAAAGTTCGTTACGGCTGTTAACGATTTATTTTAAGGATTTGAGGATTCTTAAGTTCTGGCAGTGATACTTCAAAATAAGAAAACAAGGTTTTCGCTATTATTAGCTAATCCACTGCACTCAAGGTAACCAAATAATGTCGGCCAATAATTCCTTACGTCAATTGCCCGAAGGTACAAACTTTTATGCGATTGTTTAACTGGGAACCAACGACGTAGATTGGCAAAAGTATATGGTGGTAATAACACTTTTAAACTAATTAACGTTACTCCTGTTGCCTTTTTCGAGCTATGGGAGATATTGAAATGAAACTATCGGTTAATCATTAAACGTAGTTCGTTGCTTTATATAGTCATGCAATTACTTAATAACAAAGTATACACTTGCGCATAATTCACCCAATTGTATAATTTGAGTTCCTTATCAATTACTTCTCTGCATTGGTTGCCACTTAACGCATCCCAGGAGGCGTTTAAACATCTTCCTGCTTCTGGCATTGTCAATCGAGAGAGAAGATAGTTGAATACTTTCGTTGCATAAGCCTCATTTCAACCCTCGTCGCTATGCGGCTCGTGTTGGTAACTCGTATTGGAGATGGCCTTTTGCTTTCCTGGTCTAAAGGTTTGAATATACTATTGTACCACTAATTAAACTCGTACCGTGAAGTAGGCAAATATAATCAATTCAACACGCCTATGTCGTCATAATTGCACTTGTAATTAGAGTTCAATTATTATGTTTATTGTCAGAACCAAGCAAGTAGAAAATAAGCTAGGAAGTAGCGAACCTCATATTCCTTGCCACTCCTACCACAGATCAGGGTAATCTACGTATACGTATACATGTCTGGTCGTACACATCTATTAAAAAAATTACCAAATATAATTAGCGCTGAGAAAGAGGTGGCGATGAACTAAAAATTGCAAAAACCTTGATATTAAGACTCTTATTACGGTTACGAATCGAAAGGACTTATTCGAGAACGTTAACCCTGCCATGCAAACCGTGAAACATTCCATGTTCGAGTATAATGCTCTGTAGCGTTTGTAAAGAAATGGATCACATTTCTATTCAACTGTTCGTTGGTACAGAGAAAAACTGCAGAAATGTGAATAAATAAAATTACGGAATCGTAACCGTAACGGTGTGAAAATTATTTATTTCCATCATATAGTTGTCACTGTCATTTTTTTCTTGAATTGGTCATCGTACAATGTGCTGGTTTTATTTCTAGTCCGTCCAGTCCGTTGGGGACGATATTGAGTGTAGTGTCGTTATTAACTTGGACAATTGGGGAAGGTCTGTCATAGTTCCACGACTGAGGGGTCATTGCAAGAGGAATTAAGAAATAAGTAAAATACTAATTAAAATTTTGGTGGAAAGGTAAAAAGCGCTAGTAAGTTTCTCGTTTAACAAACGTTATAATCGAATTTATTATACGTATTTATTTAAACAATAATCAACAAAAATTATATTTAATCGGCACATTTATTTATTCGTAAGTTAAACATCGCCTATTAAAAACTCGTAATTTGCACTGGCAGCACATAAGTCTATATTGTATCCGAATTTTTTTAGAAAATATGGCATTTTGTTGTTCAAAAGGACAGCTACTACTGAATGTATAAAGTAGGACGACAAATAATGTTGTTTTACGCGATCTAAAAGTGTAACGCTCGACCTGCATAGGTTCTCCTCGAAAGTTTTAGCAAGAATCCTGCTCTCCCACCAGATTTTTACTTAAGTATTCCCCAAATTCCAAATACAAAACGAGCCCACCGCAACTGACCTCTGTTTTTATACATCCAAAGGTATTGCAGAAAATACTCCTCATTCTCCGTCGGATTTTAGAACCGGCAACACTGTAACGTTTCGACTGTTATCTGCTGAACACTTGTTTCTTATCCTAACGCGCTCCATTCTATTGCATATTAGTTCCGTTTCGCTATGAAGCGGTACACGTATAAAATTTCTTGTATTGGAAAATTTGAGAATTTAACACCTAAAGCTTTAGAAATATTAGATACGACATTTTTTTGAATATATTTAAAATTAACGACTGTCCCCTCTCCCTCTTTCGAATTAAATGTTATGATTATGTATTGTCATTCCGCTAGTGCCTTGATAATATGTAATCAAAAACCGTTTCACAAAATTTTCCAATCGATCTTCTGGTATTTTTGAATATTTTTTAGTTTCTTGTATGGGTAAATTATACTTCAGAGGGGTACGTTTTCAATATGACATCCTCACCAACACTAATTATTTTTATTTCGACTTGAAGCCTGTTTAACTCTACCTTACGTGGGTATAAGAGATAGTCGATCTTTTAATAAACACTATTTGGACAGGAGGTGGAATTTCACCTGGAGTGAGTTTTCTTATGGGCATAATTCTCTTTAGACGACTCCTTTGGAAACGTTTTT